TGTAGACTACTGAGGATGTTAGTGTAGTTCAGTTGAGCATAGTTATTTAGTTACTGAAGTAGACTTAGTAGAGTAGAGAGTGAATGCAACATTGTGAGTGTAATAAATTAAAAAGTTAATAATAGGACCTAATGATAATTAATAATTAATGACGAAGTGACTAGCCGGAATAAGATTTTTCTATAATTCTAGATCCAGTGAGTAGGTCTCTGAGTCTATATATTTTTTTTTTCTAGATGTAGCTAGTTAACAACAGTGCTAAATCTAGTTAGTAACTTGTCTAGAGAAATCTAGATCTAGAATTATTTAGTAATTTAGTAGGCAATAATTATAAATAATAATATTATAATATTAATAAAATTAAAATGTTGTCATCTGTTGCTACTGCGAACCTATCTAGATTTGATTTAAGAAGTAGATTTAAAGTTTAGTTGACTGCTAAAGATTAAGAAAGTCTGCTACTAACTAGAGTAGTAGGCATATGCTTACTTTTAGAAATCTAGATGTAGGAAGTTTATGTGTAAATCTAGCAAGACCCAGTTATTTTAGTAGGCATTGAATTATGGTTATTAGATCTAGAGTTTAGATTTAGTAAGAGATTTGTCAATATTGACCTGAAGTTATAGATTTAATGGCTAGTTTTGATTGCAATTTTATTTATATTTTTGATATGCTTATTATGTATAAAAATGTAAACTATGATTATAAGACAAAATTTTAAGTATAAATATTGTGTGTAAATCTATTTTTCAGAATACCTGAATTAAATCAGTGCATATAGACCTCTAGTAAACACAGAAGAAAGTACCCTACACATGTTCCAGACAACCTTAACTAAGACTATCAACAAAACATAGGAAATCAAAATGTGTTTTAGAATGAAGATTTCATCTGAGTCTGCAATTTATGAATAACAATATTTGATGCAGGAAAAAATTAAATTCCCTGAAATTATGGGACAAATATATATCACATTAAATAAAGTGCCTTTATCTTTAAATACTTAATAAATTATTAATTTATTTAATAAAAATTGAACTTGTCTTAATCATTGAATTTGTTTATTGATTGTAATTGTTAATGTTATTGTTAGTGTATGAAAATATTGTAAACAACAGTGAGAGTTGTAAAGTTCCTGTTTCTAGCCTGTTTGTCCATGGATCAGATTGCAAAGAGTTCAACTGTTCTGTGAACTTGGCATTCGAAGCCATGATGTGGTCAGCACTATGACAATGCCTTTACTAAACTTTACTTAGGTACCCCTAATTGCTGGGTGCACACAGGGACTTTCTACTGACTTAAACCTCAATTTAACTTGAGACTTTGGGTTAGTAGTAATGGCAGTCTAGCGCCAGTGTGTTTTTCTTCATATAAAATTTGCAAGTTAATCACTGTTTAGTTTCCTCAATCACTACAGCTTTCCAAAATCACTGAACTAACACACACAAACACAAAGAACGTATTAAAACAACACTCAATAAAAATAACATAAATCTTAACACTTGATAAAAGATTTATTTAGTATATATCAATATATATTTTTACAATGACCTACAAATACTAAATTGGGATTCATTGGTCAAGCAGTAGAGCACACAATTGATAAACCAGAGAAGTGGTTTGAGGGCTTGAGTACATTATCATTAAGGGTAACTGGCTTGAGATACTGACTTTAAGTGTAAACCACACAACTGTTTTATTGGTCTAAGTAAAAAAAACAAGACATTATTAATATTATTACAAGTGGAACATGCTTCATCTGTGGAATAATACTTTCATTAACAGTAAAAATAAATATTAACTAGTGTACACAGACACTAAAAATACATGCTTACTGTAAAGCAAAAGTAATTCTTCTAAAACAATGTAATATACATTAGGCTTATTTAGTCATATCTGTTTATTCTGAGTGATATAGTCAGAATTCTGTAATTATAGCATATTTAATTTCTACTAAGTAAGCCTTGTACAACAGTATGAATATCTAGAATCTAGCTATATAGATTAATTGAAGTTGCTGATTTTTTTTTTAAATCTTTGAATTAAATTTTCAATGTTAAACTAAAAGCTCAATGACAGTAACACAAAGTCAAACAAAGCTTATTACAATTAAACTAATTAGGCCCTAATGTTAGTAATTATTAGATTAATCCAATTTTTAGGCCCACTTTGGGCTTAAATCAAATTTGGAATTTCTAGAGCTATTACTAGATATAGAATTTTATCTAGTAATACTGGTACACTATAACTTGTCTATATATATATAACGATAACTATCTCTACGAGGACTAACTACTAAGCAGACGACTAATTAGTAATTACGGTTATTAGGTCTAGCCTACTGTCACCGTGTAATATCTAGTTTATCTACATCTAGATCTAGATCTAGATCTAGTACTAAAAGAAAAAGTACTGGGAAAAGGATTTTTTTTTTTAAAATATGGCATTGATTTAAAATAGGGGCCTATTTATTAAAATGAATAAAGGCAAAGTCTTTATAACTAAATAGGCCTAATTTAAATTAGGGGCCTATAATTAACTATAATATGATTAATACATAGGGCCTAATAACTAATTTAATCAGTTCTTAACTTTCTAAGCAAAAGAAAGTCTAGAAAAAAATTTATGGGCCTACATTCAAAAGTTAAGTCTAAAGTCTAAAGGTTTCTGTTTTACATAAATCTAGCTAATTATTCTATTATTACTAACTCTAGCTTAAATACTAGCTAGCTAACTAAACTAATACTAACACCTATTACTATTATATTAATAAAAGTATTCATATTAATCATATAGGCCTAGTTCACTATAAAAGAAAATACGCACTGAGTATTATTATAGTCTATATAATATACAGTAACAGGCCTATACTTAATACTAGATCTATTATTATTATAGATCTAGGTCTAACTAAAATAAGGCTGAGATCTAGATCTAAATAAAATACATAGGCCCTAGATCTAGTAAATAATACTATTTGACGATTTGTTATAATTAATATAATAGGGTATATTTTTATTATTGTATCTAGATCTACTGTTTATAACTTAAACTTTAGACTTAATTAAACTTAAAGTATGACGTATAATTAATAATTAATATTAATTTTAGGCCTAGTACTTAGTACTAAGTTAGTACACTAAAGTAGAATCTAATTCTAATTACTTAATTACTAAAGTATAGGCCTAGTAATTAGTAGGCCTAACTAATATATAATTACTAAAGTTCTTTAATTAATTCTTTAGACTTGGTCACTTGACTTTACAACCTCTTCTTTACTCTTCTAATAAAATCGGTTTAGACTACGGTCCCTAGATCAGATCAAGATCTAGATTCTAGATCTAGATTTCTAGATCTAGAGTTAGTAGAATCTACCTCTAAAATCTAAAACTACTAAAAGTTACTAAAACTCTAAAACTAAATCTAACGAGTCGGTTATATTCTAAATATAATTCTAGAATCTAGATTCTAGACTATATTAAAATCTGAAAAGTCAATTCTTTATCTAGATCTAGATTTAGAATCTAGATCTAGATTAGATTTTAATTTTCTATCTCGATTTCTAGATCTAAATTCACGAAATTCTGATTCTAAATTCTTGAGTTTGTTTTGAAGCCAAAAGCGAAAGTAGCTTTCCTAACTTAAAAAAAAAGATTTAATAAAAATATTCAGATTTGGTTTAAAAAAACGCCAACCGGCAGGACTCCATTTGGACTCCACTTCAACACCCAATTATCTCAACAAAAATAATCAGGGTGCGAGATGGGAAACAGTGGATCAAAACATGAACCTATCACCCGTATCCATAAGTGGTGGTATAGAAAAGATTGAGTGAAAGATCTAGAACTCCAGCCGTTTACACACAGCAAATACAGGGCAGAGGGAAAAAAGACTGACACACTTAAAAAACAACAACACAATTTAAATATAATAAATGAAAAATTATGACCTGGATGAAAAGAGTAGTAAAACACCCTGCATTTTGAATTGTATAAAATACTTTAGTAATACTATGTTCAGTCAGGATATTTAATACAGTTTAAATTTAGTCCCCTTAAAAAAACTGATGTTAATACTACATTATTAAAAAACAACAACAAAGTAACCCAGTAGAAATATAATTATATAGCCAGTTGGTCTAATGTATGTATTCACAGAAACTGGTATTGAACTCTTTAAAAAATTCAATGAGCACAGAAAATTAGATAAAATTTAATTCATGAGTACATAAAATAATTGTTTCAAGAAGAACATTTGGACAATACTTTTATTTTAATTAGGCTGAGGAAAGTAATGAGAATATCTGCTGCTTTCTTTTTCCTAGGCTGAAGCATTAAGTGTAGGAGGAATAAGACAGGGGTTTATAAGAGAATTCTTTAAATCCTTGAGGCCTTGCTTCCAACGCTGAATTCACGACAATCCACTAAACATAACTGTTCAGTACAATCTAAAATTCTACATTCTAACTCACGCTCATCAAAAATGCCAGTAAACTCTTAGAATGTACTCAATCACTTTTCCCTGTCCTAATCAGCTTAAAGTAGGGACACCTTGTGTCTAAAATAAAAATATCAATGCCATGACAATATTGACAAGCTGGGAGACTGCAGAACACCCTATCTTGACCATACATTCAGTACGGTAGATGAAGTAGAGTTTCTTTTTATTTAGAAATAAATAAAACTGGACTGTGTATTTAACCCTAACCAAACTAACACACATTGCTTTAAGGAGCAGTCAACCCAGACAAGAAGAAACAAAGTGAGAGATAGTGATTATAAAATGTGCATACATATCAGCAGTTAATCCACACAGGAAATAGCTAGTGAAATATAGTGACTTTAAGAAGTACTTACTTATATCAGTAGTTAATCCACAGGAAAAAGCTAGTGAGAGTTATAGTCTTTAAAATGTATAAAATGTACTTACTTATATCAGCAGTTAATCCACACAAGAAGAAGCTGGTTGAGTGAGAGAAAGTGACTATAAAAGGTACTTACTTATATCAGCAGAAACTGGTACTCCACAAACATCCGTTCTTTGACTCAAGCAAACAGAAACATTGATAGCTTGTACACCACTCTGTGCTATCTCCAAATTCTCACCCATCACCTGAGAAATACAACAAATTTGTCACACATAACCTGAGAAATACAACAAATCGTTACAAATAACCTGAGAAATACAGCAAATTGTCCTAAGAAATATAACAAATTGTCCCACATAACCTAAGATATACAACACATCTTTATCCAAAAATACAAATTGATTTATTTTCTTGTGTACAGTCTAACTTATATTTTGGCATTTTAGAATCAGTCTGAGGAAATACTGCAATTCAAACCTAAGATACACAATAATATACAAGCTAGCATTGTCAAATCTTTATATTTTTGTATGGCCATTTAGTAATTTTCCATTTCTATATTTTCTCTCTAGTTTAATTACAAATTTTTAAAGGGCTATGATTTCTTAAAATGGAGAAATATAAAATGTTAATTAATAGTACTCTTTTGTGAATCATTTAAATGAAAGTGGATAACAAATCTATTAAAAATGAGGTAATGAACAAATATCCTGGAATGGATAACAATCTTCTATACACCTAGAATTAGATTTAAATGTAGTTGTCTTATAGTGGATACTGATGTACTTAGAGTTGATAAAAGTGGATAATTCTCAATGTGGATAACAAGTACTGGTATTTAAGTGGATGGTTAATTCTAGCCGGAAAAAGATACGCATGGCCAATGGTACTGCTCATGCATGTGTTTACAAACAAACCGCTGAATTATGACCCTGACCCTCTCACTAACCCTAAACCTAGCGCAGCTATTAAGGTCACTGCGCATGCGAAGAACTATTGAGTTTCATATTTTCTGCTTTAACATATTTTTCAGAGTAGTCACTTCGTAAGTGGATAGCAATCCACTATTGCCATTTGACAGAAAACCACAACCAGGCCCCATACCTTCATGCAGCCATTAATTGAGCTCCAATCTAGTTTTTCACTCTTCACATCCACCCGGAGACAATACTCGTTGCCATAGGGAGAAATGACAGACAACTTCCGTTGCCGGGCAACAAAAACTGGAATTTTAGGAAGACTTGGTATTTGTAAATCTGAAAATGTTGAGAAATATTGTGAGAATATAATAACAGAAAGATTATTATTGTGATGCTATTTTTTAAACAAATACTGTAAGTCTCTTCAACAGAAAGACAAATACTACGTAGGTCTTCTTCAACAGAATAAAATACTGTAAATCTCTTCAACAGAAAAACAAATACTGTAAAGCCCTAAATAGAATGACAAATACTGTAAAAACATTTCAACATAAAGGTAATTATTATGAAGCTACATCTTAATGAAAAAATAAATAATAAGAAAAATAATATTTAAAAAATAACTCGTTAAAATTAGAGAAACTTACAATTAGTTGTAACAGTTATTGGCAATGAAGAAGGTCCAATGCCTAGTTCATTGGAAGCCACAACTTGGAATGTATAAGTACTAGAAGGACGAAGTTCTGAAGAGGGAAAAGCAAAACAGATATTATCATACACAATCAGATGATGAGTCATGTGACCCCTTTCCATTTTTTGTTACAATGATAATGATAAAATAAAAATTAAAAAGTTAAAAAAAATTTTTTTTTTTAAATGTTCATTCTTTTTTGAGTGTGAACTCTATAATGTAGAGATCCCTAAAATAAAATTATTGTTCAAATCTCTTTTTTATCATCATATGTTATTTCCCTATCAATTACTACAATTTTATACCTGATTTGAACACGTTTGCTTATAGGCCTATATTATTATGTAGGCCTACAATGACTTAAAACATTTTTAATGCTAAAATAATAAAATAAAAAATGATGGAACAAAACTTACTAGTAATATTAAACGACCTTGATGAACTTGGGGTCACCTCAATCTTCTTTGGTTCCTCTCCCCCACCTGATTTCTGAATGAAAAACTTTTGGTCGTACCCCCCATCAAAACCTGGTTGCCAGACTAACATGGCGGAGTCCCAGGTGGTGTTGAGGTTGGTGAGGTTGGAGGGTTGTTCAGGTGGAGCTGTGAATAGAAGGGTGGTTGTCAGTTACATGTAACTTGATGGTTTTTGTGTTAGTCAGTTTCAGGTAACTTAATGGTTTTTATTTAAGTCAGTTTCAGGTAACTTGGTAGTTTTTATTTTAGTCAGTTTCAGGTAACTTAATGGTTTTTATTTAAGTCAGTTTCAGGTAACTTAATGGTTTTTATTTAAGTCAGTTTCAGGTAACTTAATGGTTTTTATTTAAGTCAGTTTCAGGTAACTTAATGATTTTTATTTAAGTCAGTTTCAGGTAACTTGATGGTTTTCATTTAAGTCAGTTTCAGATAACTTGATGGTTTTTATTTAAGTCAGTTTCAGGTAACTTTATGGTTTTTATTTAAGTCAGTTTTAGGTAACTTAATGGTTTTTATTTAAGTCAGTTTCAGGTAACTTAATGATTTTTATTTAAGTCAGTTTCAGGTAACTTGATGGTTTTCATTTAAGTCAGTTTCAGATAACTTGATGGTTTTTATTTAAGTCAGTTTCAGGTAACTTTATGGTTTTTATTTAAGTCAGTTTCAGGTAACTTGATGGTTTTTATTTAAGTCAGTTTCAGGTAACTTTATGGTTTTTATTTAAGTCAGTTTTAGGTAACTTGATAGTTTTTATTTAAGTCAGTTTCAGGTATCTTTATAGTTTTTATTTAAGTCAGTTTCAGGTAACTTTATGGTTTTTATTTAAGTCAGCTACAGGTAACTTTATGGTTTTTATTTAAGTCAGCTACAGGTTATTCTATGGGAAGGCATCAAAGAATGGACAGTGCTGCTCATTGCGGAACCTCAGAGGGCCAAGACAGTTGGTGGGTACATGAGAAAATCAACTGTGGTGCTCCAACAACAATTGATTGATTGATTCTACTCAAGTTAATCTTTGGTTTTTACTTAAGACTGCTACAGGTTAATCTTGACTTTTTAAAATGTGTGTCATCTACAGTTTAATTTATGGTTTCTATTTAGTAACATGTAGGTCTGTAGTAATGTGTTGATAAATAAGGTAAGAACTGCAGTAATCCTATTTAATACATTGCTAATTAAATATTCATAACTGTCAGCTGTCATTATAGACTCCAATTATCACAAATTACAGTGATACTACAATGAATGTCCAATATATTTTGATTGTAAATCCATATATACATCAGCTTTTTTTTTTCAAGCATTGGTTTTTCTTTTTAAGTTGAATATACTATATTTAATATAGCAATATTGGATATAAAGTTTTATTAAAATAAAGAAGGTAGACACAGGTACATAATAAAGTCTTTATAAAGACTAGTAAAGTTTACTTCAGGTGGAAGTAGTGGGCTCAGATTCAGTCCACTAAAACTGTTGTCTTCATAAAGACTATATTTGTACCTGTGTCTTTGGCATTGAAATAACGCATTAGGTTCAATATTATTATTTCAGTAACAAAGCATGCTTTAAAGTACTTTACTATTCTTAATATATGTAAACAAATTTAAACTTTTTTAAAAGACTAACAGCTTACATTTCTTAGCCAATATAATTTCTTGCGAAATATTCCCCAGATTGTTCCTGACCAAACACCTGTAGGCGCCATAAGATCTGTCTGTAACGTTCATCACTGTTAGTTTACTTTCCATTCTTCCCAGCCCACTTGACAGTTCCTTGATGCCAATGCCTGGATCATTTGGTACTAGTTGTCTCCCTTGAAACATCCACAGAACTGAAGGCTCAGGGTAGGCCTGAGTCTTGCAAGTAAATTCAGCAGAGTCTTGTCTGGAGACTGCCAGGATTGTTGGCATGGGTTCCAGAACTGGTGGGACTGAAGGGAAAAAATATTAATTAGATCTAGTAAGGTTTAATTAAGAAACAATTTTATAAACAAGTCTAATGAAATAATAGATTAAATAGGTCTACTAGATCTTCATGTCCTTCTAAAAAAGGTGTTGATGTTAACTGTTTTATTGATAAACATGACAAGTTTATAGAATAGTTTCTATGGGATGGGGGTGTCATCCACATTCTGGGGCTGGATGGGGATGTTATCCATTTTCTGGGGATAGGGGGTGTCATCCATATTCTGGGGATAGGGGGATGTCATCCATATTCTGGGGATATGGGGGGTGTCATCCATATTCTGGGGATAGGGGGATGTTATTCATATTATGGGGATAGGGGGGTGTCATCCATATTCTGGGGATAGGGGGATGTTATTCATATTATGGGGATAGGGGGGTGTCATCCATATTCTGGGGATAGGGGGATGTTATTCATATTATGGGGATAGGGGGGTGTCATCCATATTCTGGGGATAGGGGGATGTTATTCATATTATGGGGATAGGGGGGTGTCATCAATATTCAGGGAATGTGGGCGTCACCCACATTCTGGGGATGGGGTTATGTTCCCTCTATGCTATGTGGTAGTTTTTTAACCCACCGTGCAGTCATTTTGTAAAATACGTATATCCATGTATAAGAAATTTAGAACACAGCACACACACAAAATACAAGTTACACATTAGCTTTATCCCTTACATGGTCACAGAGATACACCTCGGCTTGAGGTGTGGAAAGTAATAGTACATCTTGTATATGTGAACACATATGTGTATGTAAATAGAGAAAACCAGAGGGTATGTAGGTAAATGTAATATCCAGTTTGGTCAAACCACTAAATCTGTTTAAGAACCATACAAGTGTTTAAATAATGCCTAGACCTATTTCATCTGAATATTTTTTTCTATTAAAAATTATTTGCAGGCCAAATCTAAAGGGCTGGTCAACTTACAGTTGATAAACAGCTGGGTCAGAGTTTCAGGTGTCTCACTGTGTTTGTCAGATTCAGCCCTGCAGGTGTAGTTGGCCATATCTTTCACCTGAAGAACAGTTCTTTGGCCTGTTGATGTGGAAATTGTCCTGGCCAAGCCTAGAGGATAGGGATTTTAAAAATTCAATTTGTGGTTCTTATTCCATTCTAATTATTTATGTATTGTATGTAAAGTAAAGTTACATTTTAAAACCTGGAAACCCATGGTGGGGAAGATAAAGTAGAGTTCCTTTGCTTTTGGGAACTTGGCATATGAAGGGATAGTGGAGTCAACAGTATACTTAGATGCCTTTACTAAACTTTACTTGACCTAAATTTCTTAATTTTAGTCAGGTACTCTTTAGAGATGGGTGGAATTTAAGATACGAGAAGACAACCTAATTGTTTAAAAGCAGTGTTTTATAATTTTTTAAAGACCTATAGCAATACCTCCACTGAAATGCACTGTGTCGTAAGGACAAAAAGAATAAAGCAAAACTACCTTACACCATATGAAACTGTACTTAAAAAAATAGAATACACATCCAGTATCTTTAGACCAAATAAATAAATAAAAATGTCTAAAAATAAAAATAAGCTTGACTACCTTTAGACCAAAAAACTTAAGAATTAAGTTTTAGTACCTTTTGAACAAAAAAAAACTGAATGGAGTTTCAGTAACTTTAGATCAAAAGAAACTTTCTTTAAAAAATATAATAGTTCCAGTACCTTCAGACCAAACAAAACTGTTCTTTAAAAAAATATAATGGTTCCAGTACCTCTAAACCAGAAGAAACTGCCATTAACAAAAATTAGAATAGAGTTCCAGTACCCTCAGACCAAACAAGACTGTCATTAAAAAAACTGAATGCAGTTTCAGTACCTTTAGACCAAACTAAACTGTTCTTTAAAAAATAGAATAGTTCCAGTACCTTTAAACTGGAGGACACTCTCCACGGCCATGCTGGGCCCAGAGGTGGGTTTAGCTGTGGTTATCACAGTAAACAATTCAGGCTGGGAGTTGAGGGCGGGGAACTGCCCGTTCCTGTACCACAGCAACCTGGGCTGTGGGTACCCCCTCGCCTCACACAGCAGCGACACCAAATTGGGCTCGTTGATGCCTATTTTTACTTCCTTGTTGGGTAGTTTAGTTATAACAGGTCGCTCTGAGGAAAGACAAAAGAAATTAACATAAAAGGTTAAGTAGTAATATTGGAAAATTTCTAATCAAATAAAATTTCAGGCATTAACATCTTTAAAATAAAAGTAGTTTTATATATCACTTAAGGGCAAGTTAAAATTCATGCCCATGACATATGGCGCAGATGAAGTAGAGTTCATTTTTTCCCAATGTTCTTGGCATACAATAGGGGATAACGTCAGTGTTTCTTCCAGACTTTTTCTCCGGGAGGGGGGGAGGGAGGGGGGGCGGAGGGGGGGGGGGGAGGGAGGGGGGGGGGGCGCGGACACTAGTAAAAGTATATTTTTACTATATAAATTCCATCTGGTTCGGGGCAGGGGCGGTAGACTTTCTTCGGGGGCTCTGTGCCCCCCCGAAGAGATGCCAGGAAAAAACTCTGGATAACGTGGTCAATTCTATGCCCAGCTTTCATTATTTTCCTCATTGCGAGAGTCCAGTACCCATCAGTGTTGCTTGGACTCAGAGGTGTCCTACAGACTCGAGCACGGGCTTTGAACTCAAGTCCGAAAGGTCGAGAGTCACTAGCTCTACTATCTGACCACACCATTCAAGTTAAAATTAATTCATTTAAAAAGTTTTTAATTTTTAATTAACAAATAATTTAAAATTTAGACCACTGCTTTAAAACATGGTAACTTATTAAAAAAAATTCTTTTTGCAACCAACTTTTCTATTTTCATAAACAGAAGATGAATTTTTATTACCATATATATTGACACTGACAGTGGCGGAGCGCCCACTGCCTCTAACATTAGTCGGGGTACAGGTGTAGCGGCCATTGTCAGACAGCTGGGCAGACACAATGGTCAAGGTTTGTCTATTTTGGTTCAAGGTCATTCCATCTTTAGTCCAAGTGTATGTTGGCTCCGGGTAACCTTCATTTAAATTTTTAAAAATTTCATTAAAATAATAACATTAAAAACAAACTGAAACATAATGTATTTTTTTAGATTAAAAAAAAACATTCACTTAAATAATAAAATTTAAAAAAACTTCAACATATATATTTTTTTAATTTAAAAAAAAAATTCATTAAAATAATAAAATTTTAAAAAATTAAAAATAATTTTTTTAAAAATAAATAATTTTGAGTAGATTTTGTTACAGTTAGTGACATGTAAATTTCAGCAGTCAGTGATAAAGTAATGACTGACCTGTAGGTGTGGCTGTGCAGGTGATATCCAGCCTCTCTCCCACATCCGTATCTGGGACTGTCCCAATACTAGCAGCACCTGGTTTATCTGTTGATAAACAAAATCAGATTTTTATATATGATACAAGATAAAACTACACAATAATCTTGAAGAAAAATTAGCAAAAATTACAAACTCATTACACTAATAAATTCATTTGATCATATGTTTGTGAAAAGATATTTAATAATGCTGTATTTTTTGATGTGGTCATTCTTTGATAATGTTTTTGAATAATCAATTAAAAAAAATTCCTTTGCACACTTTTTTAAGTTCAATTATTGAGAACACAATTTAAAATTGCACTTTTTCTAGGAGAAAGTGCTAGATTCGTTAAGTATTTGGAACTTTGAACTCTTTTAGTACAGATGATTAAACAAGAACAATCCTGACTTGATTATTCATTAAACTCCTTAGTCATGTCTGTAGCAAACGCTATCACTACTCCCACTGCTTGGGAGGAGGAGGCATGGTTGGGCAAGAAACTGATAATCTTAATGTCTTAAGCTTGGATTCCAGTCTCCATCCAGACTCGGAGTCCACCCAGCTCTGAGAGGATAGATCTATTTGACTAGCTTTTGGGAAAGTTAATGCAGCTGTGCATAGAAATGACCAATCACTTCCTATGTAGAGGTAACAGAAGCATGTGAACTCCTCTTCATCTGCCCTATTGAGCGCCATGATAACTTTTTAAAAATTTACTCACACTGAACATAACTTTTTTAAAAACTTGACTCACACTGAACATAACTTTTTAAAAACTTGACTCACACTGAACATAACTTTTTAAAAACTTGACTCACACTGAACATAAACATAGGTGAAGGTCTCCGCAGTGACAAACTCAACACTCTCCCCGGAGATCCGCAGCTGACTCTGGGTCCTGCAGGAGTAGTTCCCAGCATCCCCGGGGCTGGCGGAGTCTATTCGCAGCATGTCTGAAGTTGATCGAGTCTGGGCGGTTCCATCAGGAAGTATTTTCATCCACGTAACTTCGTAAGGTTTTGGGTTAGCGTCCATGCTGCATTTCACTGCTATTACTTGTCCTTCGTCGACTGTCTGCGTGGAACTAATGTTAAAGATTGGAGGATCTGAAATTAGTGGTAAATTGTGTTATCATCAGTGACTTTATAAAATGATAAGGCATTAAAAATAAATATATGTCGGTCTCAATCCTTTAAACTTAAAACTATTTTTAAAAAAATAAGCAATATATAATAGAAATAAAAATTTTGTGTTTTTAAAAGGTGGCTTGAAATTATAATCTAGTGTTTATTTTTTAGAATTGTAATCAATGATCTGATGGCTTTAATAAACTTATTATTTTATTATTATATATAATTATATATAATAACAAAATTATTTTATTATTAAAAAAATTATTTTTAAATTATTATAAAATTTTTTTTATTATTATATATATTATTATTATAATATACTTATTATTTAGCTTTAGAGAAACTAAAATATTTGTTAAAAAATTTAATCAATAATATAATGACACCCTTAAAGTCTTGGTAAATAAATTGCCACTAACTAAATTTAATAATGCAGGAATTTGTATTCAGTACTTACACTGAATATTTAACTCTAGTGATCCTGAATTTTCTCCAATGTTATTTTTAGCAAAGCAGGTGTATGTCCCATTATCTGCTTTGCTGACTTGAGAAATTATTCGTCTTGGGTTATTTCCTTTAAGTAAAAAAAGTGTTTGATAAATTTGACAATAATAAGTGTCTTTTATCATAATTTTTCATTTTATTTAGACACTTATTTTTTCTTATACATGGGAAGCTACTCAAGATATTTTAAAAAAATGAATTTGGAAACAGGAGTAGCTTCCCCTTACACCTGAAAAAAAACAGTATTAGCTTATGAATTCAAAATTTACACTAGAGATTATGTGATCTATACTGTAGTAGATAAACGGAGTAGATATGTAGTTATAAGTTCTGCATATATTACCATATAAACTGATGCCATCTTTTGACCAAGACACAGAGGTCACCACTGGGTTGGCATCTACATCACAATATATTTCAATCTTCTTGCCAAGCTTTACACTGTAGGTGGGGGAATAGGGCTGGAATCCAATGGATGGGGAATCTGCAAAGGTGGGAAAATAAACAGATTATTATAGTATAGAACATGTCAATGTAATATTAGAATATAAATTAGTGTATAGTTTAATAAAATAATAGAAAACATCCTAGATGTTTATATTTATAAGCTATGTCGGATAATCTACTTATAAAAGAAAATAAATCCCAATTCTTTGTTAACATTAGATACCTAACCCTCATTACAAAAAAAACTAAAGCTTTAATCAGTTTTCTGATTAGCCTTACAGAAGTTGGTGTTGTGTTTTGAACTTGATAACTGTTAAACTCAAATATTGTTGCTCACTTTCAATGTACAAGATACAAATTTTGAGAGGCTGATTTTTTAAGCAAAATATGGTCCACATATTTTACAAGGTAAAGATTCTTTTTTTTTTAGTTTTGTTTCTACTGCTGAATTTTATTACTTTGTGTGTTAATAGTTAAAATATATATCCTTACAACTTATTTTCAAACTACTAACCCAAAAGTCTTCAGTTTAATCTGGGATCATGTAAAGAGAATACCATCTAGTCTACCCAACTCTAATGGGTACCTAGCACATGTTAGGGAAATTAATGGCGGATAGGCATAATATTGACCACATTATCCCCGTTTTCATATGCTGAGGTCACAGAAACAGGTGAACTCTTCATCACTTGCCCTATGGACTATCAGGTTTGAAAAGAAAACTTTACTTTCTATAGTGGTGACACCACCAAACCTTCATAAGCCGAAGTTATAGAAATTGATGTAAGGGTAACTACTTTTCAAACTGATAAAGTAAAATGTAGCAATGCCTTAATTTAATGAACAGGGATACCATTAAAGATGAAGATACTTACATCGGACACTCATGACCACCGAGTCTATCAGTTTGGTCATAACGTTGACATCGTTGTAGACTAGACAGGAATAGTTGGCCTGGTGGTCACTTTTGTCCAGTCTAACGCTGATGGTCAGACTAGATGTTCCACCTATCACAGTGGACGCTTTGTAATCAGAATTCTCTGGAATTAAATTTTTTTTTTTTAAATTATGCAACTGTAAACACATTTAAAACAATTAATTAATTAGTAGGATGAGAATGGGCAATTATGTAAAAAGGTTTTGCTTAGAATATTTTAAATACCAAGATATTTAGCTGGAATTGTTGTAAAATGTTGTTGAGCTGACACAGCTTACACGTTATACTCAACATTAGTTGGAGGAAAATAAATGTATCCTAAACTCTTACTCCCATTTTTATCTTATTACTGAATTTACTCAGAAAAAAAAAATATCTACAATGGTATTCTTGATAAAAGAATGAATAGGTAGTATAATTTTGCAATAATTTAAAAAAATTAACAGTTCTAATTTTTTTTCTGAATGACTCACAGTTTCCTAAATGTTAGTTGGATAGTCGACAGAGATTTTAGGGTGGAGTGAATAAAATAAAAGTTGCTTGGGACTTGCTTAAGATCATTTTAACTATATTAACCAAGTAGAATTATATTTTATTACTGACTGACAATCATAAAAGCGGGTAAGGATTTCTTTATTTAAAGAAATAAAATATGACAAATTATTTACTTATTTAACCTATTCAAAATTTTACAAGGAGGTATAGATATAATAAGAATATTCTGTGAAGTGCTGATGTAATGTGTATATTCTTAGCCTGCTGTGATGTGTGTGTATGTATACTTCATGTGGTGTGTATATATGTGCCAGCTATGATGTGTGTGTATGAATACTTGATGTATTGTCTATATACTTGCCCGCTGTGATGTGTGTGTGTATGAATACTTGATGTATTGTGTATATACTTGCCTGCTGTGATGTGTGTGTGTATACTTGATGTATTGTCTATATACTTGCCTGCTGTGATGTGGTGTATATACTTGTCTGCTGTAATGTGGTGTATATACTTGTATATACTTGCCTGCTGTGATGTGTGTATATGTATATTTGATGTATTGTCTATATACTTGCCTGCTGTGATGTGTGTATATGTATACTTGATGTATTGTCTATATACTTGCCTGCTGTGATGTGTGTATGTATACTTGATGTATTGTCTATATACTTGCCTGTGTGTGTATGAATACTTGATGTATTGTCTATATACTTGCCTGCTGTGATGTTGCCATTCTTTAACCATGTGATCCTGGGGTCAGGGTTACCCCCAGATGAAGAACAGGTAAGGTTGAGTACAGTCCCCTCATTGTAAACAGAACTTGTGTCACTTCTGGTGATAACAGGTGGGCCAGGTGGCACTACAGGGATGAAAGTTTTGAATAATTAATGATCAGTTTTTCTTCTACTAATTGTTTATTCTACAGAATAATCTTACAGCAGATAATGTACAGAAGAGATTGAAGACCTCCTTAAAAATTCTCATAGACTGGAATAACACACTATCAAATCTTTGAACAATTTTAATAATCTACATTTATTTTTGTGATGAATATGCTATTCTATATTGCTTTCTCAGACAAAATGGCATAGCGTTGGAGAGCAAAACTGCTATCCCGAGAGTCTCAAGTTCAAAATTCGGGTTCAAGTCAGTTGAACGTCCCTGGGTGCACTCAACTCTGATGGGTACCTAACTCTTGTTAGGGAAAGCAGGGGCGGCTGGGCGTAGTGCTGACTACTCTTTCTCTTCATTTAACCAGGTCACTGAAACAGATGAACTCTACTTAATCTGTCCCATGTGTCTTGGACAAGAACAGGAAAAAATTATAATGATTCTTCAGAAACTGAACTGTTCTAAATCTAATTTCAAGAATTAAATACTGTTATATTCCAAATCTACCAAGGTGTCGTGGTAGAATATTTTTTGCCACATCAGTTTCACAACAGTTCAATGTCCCCAATGTTAAGGAAAATATTACTTAACTAGCCTTAACATTTTTAAATCACACTATATACATCAGTTTTGCAGAGAATTGTTTTAAAATTATCTCAATACTTTTTATCAGTGAATGTTAAAATATTTGAATAGCTTTGTAATTGAACCAATAGTATGAGAAATATTGTAGTGAATTTATGAACAAAAATGTTGAGTTCATTTGTTTTATCAAAGCCAGCAAATGCGTTATGAGAATTAATAGCCAGATTTTTCTATTTGAATTACCACGCTGGGCATCAACGGAGAGCCACAGAAAAAAAACCCTTAGTAAAGCAAGGATGGTATGATATTATTTAGCAGACTATAAATGAAAAAAATGTTAGTTATACATAAAACAGTGAGAGAGGCCTTCTGAATCCCTGCGTCTTTTGTCCTACAGGCGAAGTATCCATTGTCTGCTTTCTGTACATTGGTGATGACTAGGTCATATTTGTTGATGATGGAATATCTAGGTGGTGCATCAAATCTGTTATCTTTCACAAACAGTATCGAGGTATCTGGAAAAATAATTATCATGATATAATTGTTTATTAATTGAATTGGTTTTCTTTTACAAAAAGTATGAAGGTATCTAAATTAAATGAAAAGTAATGTTTATTGAGCATGAGAAATATTCATTATCAAGGGACTGAATTTTGTGGAGACAAATATTTATACGGTTATTTCCCTTGAATCGTTAGTGATGAAAATTTAAAATTGTCAAAAGCTATCGACATCTAAGCCTAAGCGCAGATTTGTTTTTTTTTTTTTTTTAAATAAATTGAACAGGTACATTTATTTTCATTCGACTACCCATAGGTAACTAGATACATATCTTTTTTCTAATTTCTTTAAGAGTGAAAAGGGATAAGACGAAACTTTAAAGATTCAGAGAAATAGAGGTTTATTAAAAAAAAAAACAATTTAATTTTATACTTCTTAGTTGTTGGTCATGTTCGTCTTCTCAGCAAACTATTATAAACAAACATGGTTTCCAAACCAAAAAAGAGTGATCCTTTATCCAGATATTTTAAAGACTTAGATGAGTGTGATTTAAGTAGCAGCGATGATGACGAATCTAAAGTAGAATCTATAAAATCAACAAATAATAAGTCACAAAAAGTGGATAGATCTAGATCTACATCGAATGTAAATAATTTCAACAGTAGTGCAGACACGACGTCTCCAAACAAAAGTAAAAGAAATTCTGGAAGTGGAAATTAACCTGATTTGAAATCTGAAGAAAAAAATAATACTAACGTGATGAAAACTACACTTCCTTCTGCTCATGATTGCCTTTCATAAAAAATACACCTGGTTTCTTAAAAGTGTTAGATAGCAAAGAGTTGAATTGGGACAAGCTAGAAAAACGCCTAGACAACGACAATGCTGATCAACAAATAACAGATTTCAAGACGAATGCTGTTCCACCACCTTCATCGTATGAACCAGTCACTGATCCAGGTATTAAAGTTGTTGACAATGAAGGAAGGAAACGCAAAAAGTTAGGTGATGACCTGGAAGATCAAATGACTTCAACAAAAGCGTACAAGGTGCATAAAGAAGAGGATCAAGATTCAAGTTAACATTGACATTTTAAACTATACATATATTCATCTTAATATAAATTAAAACAAAAATAAAATCTGTAAATAAAAAAAAAAATAAAAAAATTAGCTGAATGATAATCCCTTCAGAATACATATGCCGTACTTGTAAAAAAAAAAAAAAAAAAATTTAGCTCAATGAAGAACACATATACAAGCAGTGGCGTAGGCAGGGGGGGGGGGGGGGGTTAGGGGGGTCATATCCCCCCATAGACCCCTCGGTGTATATATATATATATATATATATATATATATATATATATATATATATATATATATTATATAAAGTATGAAGGAGGTGCAAATCGAAAGTTTGGGGGGGGGGGGGGGGGGGGATGCAAATCGAAAGTTAGAGGGGGCGATGCAAATCGACAGTTTGAGGGGGGGGGGGGCTGCAAATCAAAAGTCTGAGGGGGTGCAAATCGAAAGTTTGTCCCCGGGTAAAAATTGGACCCCCCCCTTAAGACGATCCTGGCTACGCCACTGTATACAAGTATAACTACATTACATGTATTACTTAGAAGGGGTTCGTGATTAGGTGGGGGGGGGGGGGGGTCTGCTGGAAATTAGAAGACGGAGCTAAGTATACAGATGGGTGTTAGGTGATATAAAAATAAAAGGGAGCTGGCAGTTTGGTATGAAGATAAGGGATGGGAGGGTATAACATTGAGGGAGGGGGTGTATGAAGACAGGGGTCAAAGGTCTTACTTGAGTCGTCCTTGCTCCATATGAGGTTGGGGTCATCTGTGTTGAGTCGGCAGACGAAGGTCACGTTGTCCCCCAGCTTGACCACGGCACCCTGCGGCCGCCCTATCCACTCGACCGCCTGCCCACTGACCGCTGGTGAGGAGAGAAAACACTGGGTTAGTCACACTAGCTGATCACGTGGTACATTTAGTCACATTAGCTGGTCACATGGTACATTTAGTCACACGTCACGTGGTACATTTAGTCACACTGGCTGGTCACGTGGTACATTTAGTCACACAAGCTGGTCACATGGTACATCTAGTCACACGTCACGTGGTACATTTAGTCACACTGGCTGGTCACGTGGTACATTTAGTCACACGTCACGTGGAACTTTTAGTCACACTAGCTGGTCACGTGGTACATTAAATCACACGTCACGTGGTACATTTAGTCAGGTCACGTGGTGCATTTAGTCAGGTCACGTGGTGCATTTAGTCACATAAGCTGGTTGCGTGGTACACAATTAGTCACACTGGTCACTCTTGGTCGTATTGTAGAGTGTGCGACTGCTAACCCGAAAGTCTCGAGTTCGGATCTAGGGCTGAGTCACCCAGCTATAGTGGGTACCTGACTCCCGTTCAGTAAATACTGCTGGACATAGTGCTGACCACACTACCCTTTCACATGCCGTGGTCACAGAAATAGGTGAACTTTACTTCACCTGCACCGTGGACTCATCAGGACCCTCGCGTTGTTAATATTGAACCTAATATACCCCCCCCCCCCCCCCCTCACCGCCGAATGACTTCTTAAATGGATGACTCATAATAGTAGTAGAAACAGCCTGGAAGAAACCGTCAAAACTGTTGTCCCACTTTAGCATACTTAACTCCACAGAAAGTACAGATATGTATCTTCATAATCAGGGAATAATCGTATTGGCTCAACCTCACCATGAATGTTGACATGATGTAAGGTCTCCCATAGGAGCGCCGATCAAGGGCGATAATACATCAAACATACAGCCAGGGCTAAAGGTCCCGCTGATTACAACCATCAAGGGAAGTTACCCAATCCCCGTGACTAATGGTCAACAAGCCCGGTGAATTATAAACAAAGGGGGCATAATCCTCGTTGAAAAGGGGAAATCACTTTTAATTTCTGAGGTTATTTTTAGAACAATGTTAGCGTGTTATCGCAGGTTTTGTTGGAGCGAGGGAGGGACGGGGGCGGTTAAATTAAACGGGGAAAAACTGAGAGTTGATTAGTTAAAAGATGATGAAGGCGATGACAAAACATCGACATGCAAACCGTGCAGTGCGGTAAATTTGATTAAGTGATGCAAGATAATGAATGTTGCATGCTGGGATTTTTATAATTTTTTTTTGTGCATCGAAGATAAAGAAACTATTTCTACCAGAAAACGAATTCAATTTAAATTGTCAACATGATTAATGACCCGTTGAGCCTTTAACAAAAGCTGTAAACACTTTATTAAATCGGGGCTTTGAAATTTATATTTTTATACAAATTTATTTTTTTTCATAATTTTTTTAACGCCCTATAAAATAATTATTAAAATTATATGTAGATAAAATTTATAAATGTATATTAGGTATTAATGTAAATGTTAATAAAATATGATAAAACAACAAGTAGAGTGTTTACAGTAGGAGCCAAGAAGACGAACCACTGGCCGCTATCATTACTTGATTATGTCCCCTTGTAATGCATCACTTTAGCAATGTAACCTATTGAACCCGCAGCTCAAATTTGCATACGATAGTCACGTGATCTCCCCGAGGAATTACTACAGGGGCGGGGGTGGGGGATGGTACTTAGGGCAGGGTAGGGTGGGGCTGTGGTGAGGGGTAGAGAGGGGGTGGGGACGTGCTCCTGTGAGTGACTTCTGCTCCAGATTTGAGCTGACTTTAACACCCCGAACGCGCCTCCTCATAAAGCGAGTGTTGCGGTTTTTGCTTTTCATTTCACCGAGTAAATCAGTAATCAACACAACGAACTACCAATGTTTCATCAATAAAACTATCACATGCGCATACAATTTCCGACGTTGTCGCTAATAGCAGTAAAAAAAATAATAAAATATTAATCGTGGTAGAGATTAAACATTGGAAACTACATTTGCATATAGACTAGCTTTAGTGTAATACTGTGATGGTTATTTTCAAACACAAAACGAAGTAAATGCGGGGTTAGACATAGGTTTTCTATCAGACATTTTGAGGTTTGGTTTTCTATCAGACATTTTGAGGTTTTCTATCAGACACTGGGGGGGGGGGGGGGGTGCTCCTGGACCATATGGCAGAATGAAACACTAGTTTAACAGACCTTGCTGTTTTATAAAAAATATATTAAAATTAAAAAAAAGAAAAACGAATATTCAGAACGCTTTTTGAGCCCATAATATCGGTTTTAACGCATAATATATATCTACTCCGACATAATTATACATAGCAGTGTAGATCTAATGTCTTCAAAGGCTAATGTAACGGTTATTTTTATCTGCGTGCTTTTGATAGGCTTAAGTTTGGAGAGTAGATGAATGGGGGAAGGGGTGATTTTCAGACTGGCTAAAAAAATAAACTTTAAAAAAAAAAACCATAGAGTAAAAATAGCGAGGTGGGGTTGCGTCCCTGTATTCCATATTTAGTCCACATGAATAATGACGAAGCCGAAAATAAATGTTGCTACATATTATATGTTACTCTTCAGTTTTTAATATCAGCACCACCATATATTTATTATCCGTCTCTATCCCCATTCCCCCACTCGCATAACCTCATTATAATCTTTTTTTGTTTGATATAAGGGGAGATAAAATTCACACTTTCAAGTGGTGTGGCACCAGCAGGATTTAACATGTTGACAACGGTCCGGTTAATGCCCTTGTTTGATGTGTGGGGGGGGGGGGTCAGTTACGTTAAGCAAGTGGCCAAGGCACGAAGGGACGAGGGGGAGGGGCGATAAATCAAAGGGACACAATCTATCATTGTCTTGGACGTCGGTGCACCCAAAATGGATGTGCATCGATTTTCATCCCGGGTACCGTGCGGCATGGAGGGTGGGGGGGGGGGGGTGTAGACAAACACGCTGATGACCGCCATGTGTTGGGAGTGGTCATCTTTGGTCCGAGAGTTGCGGGACTTGATTAGTTTTTGTTTTTTCAATTAAAATTTGAGACAGTTTATTTGCATACCAAAAAAAAAAAAAACGAAAATAGCTTTATTTAAAGAACCATTTAGACACATGTTACCACCGCAAAGACACATTAAGACACATGTTACCAGATTCTAAGGACACATTTAGACACATGTTACCAGACTTGAAGGACACATGTTACCACTGTCAGGACACATTTAGACACATGTTACTGTGACCAGACTACCCCCAGTATCATTAAGAAGACGGGTGGTTTAAGGTGACTGTGCTAAATACAGGTAACGAAAGAAACAATTGTTAGTGTGTGGGGGGGGGGGGCGGGGAGGGATTTTAACGAGGGCGGGAACAGCTGGGCTGTGTGAGGTTTAAATCGTGTGTGTGGGTGTGGTGTGTGGAGATGTGCCAGCACAGCGCCATCTGGCAAACTTGGCACGTCTGGACAAAAAAAAAGTCTGGCAACGCCTGCAGGATGCAAAAAAGTGGGAGGTAATGTTTGTAGCCGGAAAAATCGGTGTGTGTGTGTGTGTGTGTGTGTGTGTGCGCGCGCTTGTGAGTTTGTGTGTGAAATTATAGGTTTGTAGCAGGCAAAATATGAGTTGTTTTTTTTTGTTGGTGTGTGAAAGTCAAGGTTTGAAGCCGGAAATACAAGTTCATTACGAAAGAATAGGTTTGAAGTCGGTAAAAAAAAAACTAGAGATGGGATATTGAGGCTGAAACCACAAAGATGGGCTTCATCTGAGGCCAGGTTGAGAAGATGGCACAGGACAGAGGACCCAGGAGAACTTTGGATGGCGGCCCTTCCCCCCGAAGGACAGAGGACTGAAGATCTTTGGTTGGCGGCCTATACCCCAGCAGGACAGAGGACTGGAGATCTTTGGTTTGGTGCCCATACCCCAGCAGGACAGAGGACTCTGGACATCTTTGGTTGGCGGCCCATACTCCAGCAAGGGTGATGGGCAGTGATGATGATGATAGTCTATATTTATAGCCGGAAAACCCGTTTGGATGAGATAGTCTAGGTTGAAGCCGGCTAAAATATTAACAAATAACATGGGAAATATTCACAATCCAAATTTGCACAAGCATATTTTTGTGAAGATTTATTCAAATGAATGTCACAAACACAAATTTCAACCCAGTTTGTCAGTCCAACCCCCCCCCCCCCCCCCCTCCACCCCACGCTAAAAACAACCACATGGACACAATGTCTAGGGTAGCTAAGGTTTATAAAGTTAGATCCAGTAAACACAATCACGTAAGTTCAACAGGCCTACTCTGTTTTTCTTTCTGGGAGTCAATGTTTGCATCACGCCTACCAAACTCTGACTAGCACTGATAGAAGACACTATTCGCAGCTTGTCTGTCTACGCCAAGCTTCAAAGATAACTAGCTAACTACCGTACGGCTGGCTTCAGTCAAACAATGAAGATAACTACCTAACTACCGTACGTCTTGCTTCAGCCAAACAATAAAGATAAGTACGGCGAGGGTTGCTTCAGTCAAATATAAAAGTTCTATACAAGGGCGACAACCAGGGGTACCGGAGAGTGGCTTAAACAAGGGCGATAACTTTCATAGGAAAGAAACAATACGGCATTGTGGTGTTGCAGTGGGGTGGTGAAACATTAAGGGACAAACAGAGATAGTAGCAGACACACACAGGGCAACAAGTAACGGATCAAAGGCAGGTAACGTGGGGAATGGATGGCCGGAATATTTTGGCGGTGGGGGGCTGGAGGGTGAGTCTGGTGGGGGGTGGGGGGTGAGAGTGGGTCTGGGGGGGGGGACGGGGACGAAGAGTGGGGTGTGATTGGGGAAGAGGGGAGAGAGAGAGAAAAGAAGAGACAATAAATTAAGAAAGGTTTGCAAAAAGGAAAAAGAAAGTGTCTAAAAGATTTACGTATAGAAAAAAATCTAAATCTAGAAATAACATTCTGACCAGTCTGAATGTGACCCAGACTCCAGGA